AAAGGAAGTGGGTGAAGATGAGCTCCCGTATGGAGGATGAGGGTATCGAGCCAAAGTTTGATGATATCCTGAAACTGGTAAATACTAGTGTCAATCAATCTATGAGCAAGTTCGCCAGTCTGTTAGATCTCACCCATAGAATAGAGCAGTCTGAGGGTAAAACGCACTCATTGATGACGAATAAGCCTCAGAGAGGTGGATATCGAGAAGGCTCGATGATGTCTAGTAATGCATATAGACCTAGTGAGTGTAACAGGTTTCGTAGTACATCCTCAACAGATAAGTTACAAGATGCAAGACAAACACGGTTGTGTTGTACTCGTTTGCAAGAGGTGCATACAAAGGTGAACTGTGAACCAGTGAGCAAGTTCAGTGATAAGCTAAATGTAAACTCCAGGTCTGACTCCGAATTGTGTGACGATAACGGTGCGGTGAAGAAGTCTGTAGTTGCAACTGGTAAGCCGTTGTTGAATAGAGTGTCACAGAATAGAGTTACTGCTTCAGAGTGGAGTTCTGACTCCAAAAGTTTACAAAGTATAACTAGTCAGAGTGAAGATGTAAAACCTTTAATGATTTGTGAGGAGGAACCAAAATTGTCTACTTCTGTTATTAAAGAGTTTGAAAATGATGAAGTTGACGGTAAATTGAATATTTGTGATAATGATCATGATAGTGCAGATTTGTCTTTGGTTGATCATGATGAAATGAGGGATATGCCTACTACTGCTAAGTTAAATAAAGGTTCTGTACAACTTGAACGTGAAGTAGAAATAAATGCAGATTCAGTTGCAGAAGGCATGCATACTTGTGAGACCGTCAGTGGGAGTGATCAGCATGTAGCCCACCTATCATCAGATGCTAGTGCTAAACCTGAGCTGATAGTAAAAGACAGCAGTGGTGGTGGTCTTGCAGGTAGACAAACTTCTGAAAAGCGAGCAACAACAGCTTTTGATCCACTGCTAATTTCATCAACTGATATCAATCAGTCGTCGTTGGTGCTGTCATCCACAATGAAACAGACACCCATCAACTCAAGTATCTTGTGCAATGACTATGGTAGTATCAGTTCGTTTGAAAGGACGAATATCAATGGTCAGTTTAGTGAGGATAAGCCAAGTGTAAACGAGAGAGTAATTGTTAAATTGACTTGCACGAATAAAGGCATTTCTAGTTTCAAGTTACTATTTGAATGTTATTATCTTTGGTGTAAATTACTCTGTTTCTATACTTGGTTGATGAGATATGTCGTGTGTTTGTTGGTCATCTATATTCTACGATACAATGACATGGGCGTGTTGCCGTTCAGATTTGAGGATATAGCTGATAGAAGGAAGTTAGCAAATGAACTCTGCGACGATTTTCCAACCTAGAGCGTCAACCTGAGAAGGGTTGTAGGCGTACTGCTGTAAGTCCTACAATTCTTCAAAGGGTAGCGCATCAATGAGCAGTCCAATGTGCTTGGTGTGTGATTTTGTACATATGTTCATGTTGTATATACTGAATTGATATCATCTTTTATCTATCTGTTGGTAATTCTGTTTGTGTCCGGACGACTTCCACTTGTATCATCAACCTGAGAGGGAATGTAGGCGTACTGCTGTAAGTCCTACAGTTCTTCAAGGGTAGTTTGTCGTGTCAGAATCCACAAAATTTAATGTAGTCATTGTACATATGTTTGTGTTAAATAGTTGTGTGAGTTCCAATTATTGTAATTGTTGGTTAATCTTGTTTGTGTCCGGACATTCCACAACTTACAATCGTCAACCTGTGAAGGGTTGTAGGCGTACTGGTGTAAGTCCTGCAATTCTTCAAAGGAATTCAATCAAGACATGATCGCGAGGTTGTTTGTACTGTTTGCATATATGTGTGGTGTGTTCTATCAATTGGTGTTTTTGGATTCATTGTGTTTACTTGTTGTTTTCGTATCTTGTTGTTATTGCGTAATTTTGTTAAAATTTTCGTCGTGATTACTTCTGAAGTTGTTTCGAGTCTTCTACGTCCATGAATGAATTGATTGATGTTGGAGACAGCAGATGGGTCGTATACGCCGGGGAGGCTAGGCTATTGCTGAGAATGAAATGCGCACGGAGATAATTGTTAGCTGCGATCTGACACGCCGGGGAGAAAGAGTGTACACGACTGAGGCTCGCATGCGTCACCGCTGCTATAACTGAGGCAGAATGAGTGACAAGCGATTTCAGTGATAATTGATAGTGAATAGAAAACAGGATGCTTGAAGAGTATCATGAGGTGCTGCTATGGTCACGTTGCATTCTGCAAGAGTCATTCTAGTAAGTGGCGATTGTGTTGCAAGATGTCAAGAGGAGGTCTCTGTCTGGAGGCGCAGGTCGTCATTGATGTGTGAGATTGTGCTGTGAGTATGCTTGTGGTGTGTTGGCTTTTCTGTTTGTTTTCCATTTCAGCTCTGTCCGTGTGACCCAGGTTCTCGCAATGGCATCCAAGTCAACGTGCATTGATCGTGAAGGAAAAAAGGGTTGGATCCCTTTTTTGCCGGGGAGTGTCAATGGAGTTGAAGTTTGAACGATCAATTCTTGGTTGTTTGCTCAAAATCAACTTCCCCAATTTTCGCGGAAGCATCAATACGACAGTCATCGTCTCATCGGTCGCTGTTCAGAAAGAAGATTGAAACATCGTCAGAAGTAATACAGAGATTTATTATTGTAATATTTGTTTTCAGACCTTAGTTTGCTTAGTTCGCTTATTCCTTTTATATGTTGGTGTAACAATAAACAAATATCAAACGGCAGATCGGTGTTTTGGTTTTTGCGTCCGTTATAACTAAGCGTTTCTGAGAAATCTTCTAAGAACAGCGTGGGCCCGAGCGTAGCGAGAGCTGGGCATTAACGGTTTATGAGACTTTGCTGACAGTTGTCTTCATCTTTTGAATGACGAAAGATTTTCCGTATGTCTAACTAGAAATTTCGCGCTTCACTTGCTGACTATCATGCTTTCAGAAATTGAACGTTGATTAACACGATTAGACTTCCACAATACTAGTGGCCTTTAGCAGTAAGCCTGAGAAATTATTTTGACAGAAGAGGTAAACTGAGCACCGAATCTTTCTTTATTGGTCTCAGAATTTTGTCAATAATGTACTGTTAGTGTCAATGGAGGTGGAGATTGAACGTTTGCTTTTGGAACTGGTAGCCATTGGTGGACAACTCGAAGGCGCTAATGGTTCGATCGTGTACAAGTTCGAAAAGGACGACCAACAACGAATAAAAATACTCCATAATTTCGTCTAAAATATTTGTTTATAGACTTTTACTGTTCTCCACCCAAATTACCAAACAATATAACTTCCTTCTTTCAATACTGGTGTTTTGAAGTTAAAGTCGAAGATAGTACATAGTTTTATCAGTGCGCAGCGTCTTCGCAACAACAGGAACTTAGGGATAAATTCCTTGACAGTTTATATTCGTTTTCTGGAGTCCCTTCTGGGACAGTTTTTATTTGTTATCTGGATCTTCTTCTGGGACATTTTCTGTTCATTTTTTCGCTTTCTGGAGCGCCTTCCGGAACTTCCGGGATTACTTACTAGGTCTGCAGTCAGCTTCTCTTTGGACACGGATTATCAACGCAATTTGGATTCTTTGGTGACTTTGGATAATGCCCAGGTCAAGAAAGGGAAGCGGCATCATAGAAGTAGACAAAAGAGTAAGTAACGATGAGTTGCCCAACAATGACTACCAGTTCCAAAAACAAACGCTCAATGTTCACCTCCCTTGGCACTTAGCAAACCCTACATATTTCGCCACGATTGCAGTAAATAATGTGACTCAAATATGCACTCAAATTAATGCCTCCACGGGTGTGTTACCTGTGATAATTGTATTATTCCAGAGAGATATTCCTGATGTTGAATTGAATTTTTGATTTTCCCGTCGATTGAATGGACCGAAGTGTTCGGTCTCAGGTTGACATGTCGGCTTCTTGTGCAGATGCTTCGACGATGTCTGGGGATTTGCTTTGTATACAATTGGTGGATGGTGGCTAGCAGTGGAATCCAGGATGCGCATTTCGTCCTAATTGGGGCTCGTCCCAGAGGTGGCTCTCGTGGCCCAAGTGGTCTAGTGGATAACGCTTTGGCGTTTGAAACTATGGGCACTGGGTTCGAGCCTCGGTGGGAACATCATCACTCACTGAGAAATGCAGGTACATCCAGATGACGAGTCCCAATTAGGACGAAATGCGCATCCTGGATTCCACTGCTAGCCACCATCCACCAATTGTAGATATTCCTGATGGTTTTGAATTCCAAGCGAATGGTGCGAAGTACCTCTAGTTTACCTTGCACAATGCGGTTGGGAAAATAATCACAAAGATGTATGACAATAGGAATAACACTTATGATTCACAAATAGTAGCAAGTAGAACTTGTGAAGGAATGTAGTTTGAGAATTACACGAATATGCGTTTATTGCAATAATGCGGATACAAACACCTTTTTAGAACAACATCCCAGCAGATAGGCTGTCAGTGGTGTATATTATTACTGTGAAAAGATTCCAAGCACTTATGAATATCTGTGCCCTTTCTGTACACAGCAACGAGTGGCATAGTCCAGCAGTATATTCACAGTCAGGAATAAGTGGGAAGATGTCGTCAAATAAGGAATTCGCTTAGTAAGTAAGGGCCATCAACAAAAGTCGAATAGATTATGGACTTTCGTATTATTTACAAGCACATTATTGAGTTGTAGGTTGTCAGAAAAGAAGTTTTGAAAAATCATTTAGTCACAGAAGAACTAAATTAAAAATTCCATGCAGTCCTTCCTGGGAAAAGTTGTGAAAATTTCGATAATTTTAACATTGCAATACTCCTATCTCCCTTGTGAGATGGGACATTTACTGACGTAGCTTGCACACTCACAATTATTTTTCAGCATATCCTTGGTGTTTTCAATTAGGATTTCAGTTACGACTACAAGTTTCTTCAAAGAAATTTTTTTGTAAATTGAAATAAATATAAAGTGGCAAGTTTTTAATGCGTGCGCTACTTCAGGCTTCAAGTTTGTTTTGCTTAGAAAGACATTGACTTGTCCCTCTGCACTATGTTTTGTCTATGACCCTCTTTAATGCAAGATGAAGCATAACTCATCAGAGCTTTCACTTTTGGAGGACATACAAGGATCAGATAAGTCAGGTGTGTGCACTTGAAATAGTAGTCTTCATGGTGAAGGCGATAACTTATTCTATTGTATAAAATACTGTTTTCGTGAGAAACTTCCCATCTGTGTTTCTCTTAAAAAATAATTATGTTTTAATGGTCTGAAAAAATGTTTTTACAAGTCACTGTACTGGTAATCGTTATGATTTTATTTGCTGTTTATATTGACACTTAGTCACATTTTCATCTGTGCTTTATATATTTTGACTTCTCGTCCCGCGCAAAATACACTTCATCGTCGATGAAGAACACTAGCTAAGCTTTGTCTTCTCCTAAGAATCAGCATTAATTATTTTTAAGCAGGCTTTTTCAAATTTGTTACATTTTTCTTTCAATTTGTGGAACATTTTTCCTTTGTTATTTACTGTGTAAAAACTTCTCGATGAGGAACTCCGAGGCGCAGTGCGTTATCATAGATTTAGTTTAAGCACTTTGCAAATTTTTGCATGCATGTATAGTTACCTCTAGCTGTTTTTTCACCTCATTATTGAAAGTAAATTCTAGTCTTGCTGCCTTGATATCGCTATTTCGTTTGATTTTACAGTAATTCCCTGTTTAAGCAAAAGGACTTCATTAAGCCTATGTTATGTACAGGACTGTTAGGGTATTGCACTAGTCATTTTGCCTCACATTGTCCGTAATCATTACGTGGGAGTACAAAAATTATTCCTCTGCCCATAATATCTGACTTCAGCAATACTAAATGAATTTTTTTTTTTACTGTGATATCTGTTACATGGAAATCGTCAGTTTGTCCAGACTAGTCATATATTCCGTGGCTGTAATTCTGTAGACATGTGATTCATTGACTTTCAGTTTCTTTTCATCCAGCTGAACCATCCAACCTAATTTAGCTTGAGAGTGGATCGTACAATTATCTGCCACTCTGATAGCATTCAATGGACTCTGTATTTTGTCAGTATCTTCACCTGAGTGAGAGGTCTATATGAACTACATATTCTAAGTCAACGAGACTATTATTCCTTGGTAACAAGTCAATCCCTGAATCTCTGTGATCAGTTAGGTTTAATTCATAAGTACGATATCCGTGATGGAATTAAACAGAAATGGGGATAATAGACACCACTAGTTGTCACTACTTCAGACAACAGCTCTCCGAAGGCTGTCACCTGCTGACTGCATAAATTCGAGTAGAGTGCATTTTCTCGTCATTCCCTTCACAGCCAAACATCGCCACAGTACGTCTGGATCGACGGAGTGGAATGCCTCTTTCAGGTCAAGAAATATGACTATTGTTGGATGCCAGTAAGCATGTGTATCTTCCAGAATCTGTTGAAGGGTAAAGATGTGATCAATACACTTTCTTCGCGGTCTAAAGCCTGTTTGGTTTTCTCGTGTTTGTTTCTCGCGGGCACCACCTAGTCAACGCATGATTATTGGGCCTAATTATTAATTTAGTTTTGCATATGTTGTTACCAGTTTTTCTGTTTAGTCACCTGAGTTAGTTATGTCAGTGAGTAATATTAAACTATTGATGACCTTGGTTTTGTTGATAAAAACAGAAAATATTGCATGCCACATCACACATACCTCAGATTGACTGACTAGTAATTGTCATCCGCAAGACGCCAACTGGTATAATATAATCACTTCTGTAAATATATGGTTGAGTAAGATAGTGCTCCAGCAGTGATGTGTACAAGCTACCATAAAATAAAAGTTGATTATCCCGTTTCTTCGATCCTTACCAACACTCTTTTGAGTACCAACTTACAATAAATAGTTAGTGCTTATTTCCTGGTAGGTTAGGTGACTAATCTGCCTACTAGGTTATTTTCTTACGAATCATTTCTTGAGTAGTAGTTTTAATAAAGTTAAGGAGAGCATTTTGGTTGTTCTCCGGGTGTTTTCTTCTAGGTTGGCAACTTTTCTCAAATTCCGGGAAACTGATATTCATAAATGAGATGAGTAACAGATTTTATTGATGTCCTCTTCTTGCTAGCTCATATTCCTTTACTTGAAGAGTTCGTATGGGGGCCTTGAAATAAGAGTAGTGCTGAAAGTTCATGCAACGAATTCATTTTTATGAATATTCATAATATTTGTGGAGGCAGCTACTGCAGCGCGTGCCTCTATACCATCTCTCTATCGGGAGCTAAGGCCTAAACTGTTAAGTCTTATTTGTTTTAATGTCACCTAAAAATTTATTTTCTGTCAAGAACGTGTATATTTACGTTATTTATCTATGTATTTATTGAGTGATTACACTTTTTTAGTTTGAAATCAAATTCTAATGACAAAAAATGATTGTATGAACTGTTTCTCATCCTACCGGTAATGTTTTATCTGCTAGTCTATACAAATAACTCTCCTTATTTTTAAAAATGATACACTTGAGTTTTGTCCATCGGAAATACTTTCAGAGTTTTGTTATTTCTTTAGAAAGTAGCCATATGGGCATAAAATAAGTTAGATAGTGTCAGAAGAATTAATGAATCTTAAGCGAACATGACAGAGTTATACTTATGGACATTTAGTAACAAATGCTTAGAAAGTACTGACATATTTCATCAGTAAACACTTAAGTTATCGATGCTGGTGCTAAGGTGCTCTACAGCAGTGAACTTTTTCAGATATTTTAAGTAAGTGCAATAAAGTACTCAGTGATGTAACTTGAAAATATAAGTTTTTCGTATAATTTTACTTGATATAACACTTATGGTACTATGTTCCACCAGTGCTCAAATTCTACTCTTACTATAATATTAGTTTCTATATACTTTTATTCTCTTGCATTTTCTCCTGTATTTAAAGTGAAAATCTGATGTTATAGTGCTTTCTTGAGTGAGCCAACAGAATTTTTTGAATAAGTCTGAGAAGTTCTAACTTTGAATTTACGTCTCTAGTCGTTTATCTTTAACTAAAGCCAGAAGTGTTTACCATATTTTTACATGTGTGGCACACTTTTTTACTGCTCTTTGTGTATGACGTCTGCATTTTAAATGAAATTGTATTGCACTTTTTCACAAAATTACTGCAGAGGATTAATATGAAGGATCCAGTTCAATCACATTTGGTTTCAATGTAGTAAACCGAGCATCGAGATAACAATGAAGTTTTCTTGTTTAACTCTTACCACTCCTAAGGGAATAGTTATTTAAACGGATTTTCTGCACTGCTTATCAAGTAGTCTGTTTTCTAGTGATGTAAAAATGAACTTGCTGTGCTGGATTTAAACAGTAACATGAAAAATATACCCCAAGTTGTATAGTAACTTACGAAATCTTAGTATTTATTCCATTAATGATTGATTTCAGATCTAATTCTCAGTTCATTTGTCTAGTAATAGCTTACTGCACATACTTACAGGCCGTTTTCAAATTAAAGTTTCGTAGATGTCATTTACCGTTTTTTGTTTGTTCACTTTGTACTATGGCAATCGCTTAATGTAATGAATACGACTCTCGGACTACACTCATTAAAAGCTGAAGCTTATTAAAATTCACATTTAGGACTAAATTCGATTGGCATAGAAGCAGATGACTTTGAATTTTCCACTCTCTGTCGTTTATAGCAAAATAAACTCGCTGAATATTTAACGTTTCATAGCAATAAGATTTATCTTCCATGTTTCAATGTATTAACTTCAGGTTTCATTGATATAAAAATAGAACTTGAGGTGTGGCAATTCAAACTACTGCATATCTGTACAGAGTTCTACGTTGAAACCAGTCAGTCAGAACCTTGGCGCTGTGGTTGATCATAATCTCACCTAGCCTTTGATATGACTATGAGCAATAACGTATCACTGCGTGACTTTATCAAACAGATTTACTCTATAGTGTAACCTGAGGTTTACTTCAACTAATACTTTGCGTTGATTACTTATGTAAACTTTCACTAGCTATATTTATTCTATTTTTGCAGATGCTATCGCACCAAAGCATAACGGTATAAACACAATTCCACCCGTTTATAGAAAGTCTCCAAGAACTCCATCTAATACATTATACACGGAAGAAACTTTTGATAACAATTTAATGCACGTTAATATGGATCCTGCTAGATATCGCGGTCTTCGTGATTTGGATTTGGATTCCTGGGATGATGAAGCAGCAGCAAAATTACGATTTTCACTGCGTCCTTCTGGGGATTTACTGGATTATTTGTCACTATGTAGACATCCTTGTGGTCTTCGTGCCTTAATCCACTCAGTAAACTCACGACCCCTTAGGCGAACATTTGGTGTTATTTGGTTTGTTCGGGATCTTTGTGGAATAATATGTCTTTTTGTTACGTGGATGCTTATCTTATATGCAGAGTTTGTAATAGACTTCATCATACTTGGTCATACACCATCTCCTACCTTCTGTTGGATAAGCGGAACAGTTTATCATTTCTTTGCTTTACTTGCTGTTGTTTCTCATTTTAAAGCATTCACCACTGATCCAGTAAGTGAATAGTCCATGGTATATTCTTTTTATCATTATATGATGATCATATTTATTTTTTAAACGGATGGTGAATTTCATTTTTATTGGTGATTCAATCCTGAGGATTTTCTACGTACGCAACGTTGTTTTGTTAACGGCAAAATAAAGCGATAGAATTAAGTTTAGATCCTCGTAAAAATCAGTTTTCTTTCCACTTCTTTGTAGTTAACATACACCTCTTGTTTTGGAAATTATATTTTCTAACTCCTATGTTGTGATTCTGGACAGCACTTACTGCCGTTGATAAAGGACACTTTTATTTGGGAATGAAGGATTTTCTCCACGAAATTTACATGTATTTGCAGACCTGAGGACTATTTACTCATAGTTAGTAGTCGAAAATACCAAAATCCTTAAACACTGCATGTTCATCGAAGTAGGTTGTATTTAGCAAGTAATACACTTTAAGCGTAACAGATACTCAGTCTTTTATCTTTTTGTAATATAGATTTAATCCAATGTGAAACACACACTGCTATTCAGTCCTTCTACTGTATGCGTTTGCTTGAAATATTGTTTATGCTAGCGTTATCCTTAAAGATTTATCGTCTCTTTACAATGCACCAATTATTTTGTGTGAAATAACCGTCACCTGTATTGTCACTTTTATAAATGCTGAATATAGATTGTTGGTATGTATCTTTTCCGTGTGAAGAACAAAGTGGTTTCCATGAATATAAACTGGTTTCCACTACATATATCATGGTGATGGAGACCTCAAATTCATTTTTGGGACTGAAATGTTCATTTTTGTTTACATAAATAAACTGCACTTGTGTATTCACTGATGTGTATCTTTATTCACTGAGTATAAGCACAATTATTGTTACACGTTTGTCACAGGCCTGATATCAAAATTTGACTCTCAACAACTTCGAAATAAGTATGTTATGTATATATGATTTTGTCAGTTGACGTTTTTTACCTATCCAAAATCAAACTGGTAGATTGGTGATTTTGAAAAATTCACCGAGTACTCTGAAATCCTTCCATTTGACTTGTATTATTGATGAGGTAATACATTTCGTATTAGCGACACAGTCTCCTCTTATCTTTAAAGTTCTATGGTAACAAAGTAGTTAATTGAATTGATGCAATGTAGTTAGTTGTATGGCGCAGGGAATGATGTAAGCATTTCTCCCAGAGTGAATGCATTTTGCGAACACCTAATTTCATGAGAAGTAAACCCCGATAGAACCGTGGCTTGATTTTGCAATAACGGGTTTCAGTCAACGAGGCAGTGCCATGTTTCTCTAAGTATGGAGATACCAGCGTCTATTTGATATCATAGGTATTCATGTAACAAAAAAATCTTTGCCGTGCCGGTTAGCATAAGCTAAGTAAAAAACTAAGTGTTATCACTACTACAAGAAAGAAATTCTGTATATGGTAATTAGTTTTATTAATAGAAAACCGAGTTAGTACGACTAACTAGTCATTTTTTGTATTCATATTTCTTTTCAATCTGGTGTCTTATAGTTGTTGTTCTGCGACCCGGTCGACAACTGTTACCTTTTCGTGGTGGTTGGGCTTAAATATCCCAGTGACTCAACATGTCACACCCGCTGCCACTCATGTTCCTGCAGGTCTTACCATATCAGAAAATTTGTTTGGATAGCGGCCAGACTAAAAGCAGTTACCATGGGGTACATGGGCTCCAGAATCCAATCGGATCAAATAGAACATGAACATATATTGGTCCCCGATAACCATGGAAACGTAGCTCCTGACGCTGCTCCGCTGCCTTGCAGATTATACGTTAAGTCAAAGGTTCGGGGGATGGTTCTCTTAGACAACCACCTGCTTCATTCTGGGCGCCCGGTTAGTATCTCTGCTCTCACACAATCAATAAAATGAAACAACGAACTATCAGTGAAACTTAATTCAATTTTAGATTTACCCGTCGATTGATTGGACCGAAGTTCTCGGTCTCAGGTTGACATGTTGGCTTCTTGTGAAGATGCTTCGGCGATGTCTGGGAATGTGATAAGAAGTTAATTGGTGGATGTTGGCTAGCAGAGGGATCCAGAATGTGCATTTCGTCCTATTTGAGTCTCGGTGGGAACATCATCACTCACTGCGGAATGCGGGTGCACCCAGATGACGAATCTGAAATAAGACGAAGTGCGCATCCTGGATTCCGCTACTAGTCACCATCCACCAATTACCAGTGAAGCTGATTGCATGCTCTTGATGCATTGCTTTTCAACCCTATTTTTATATATCAGCTTTTATGTTTTACATTTGTTATCCTTGGTTTCTTCACTTTCGTCAACGGTTCGCCGAATTCCGAATTATCAGCCTATCTGTGCTTTTCGAGATATCAGTGAACAGCCTTCAAAATGTTGATCTCCAGTGCAACATCCAACAGAGGTATTCAAAAACTGATCACCTAGAATGTTGGGACACTGATGCAAATTGGACAACAAACAGGTTTGGTAAGAACATTGGGAAACGTCGCTGTCGATGCCTGCTGCATTTCGAATACTCGGATTGCAGATTCCATTTAAATGCTTCAACTATCTCCTTCTGAAAGTTTGAATAGTGTGTACCACGTGCGCCTACCCAGGATCCTTGTGGCATCGGCATCAGGCGGAGCTGGTGTCAGTGTCGCACCAAGTGCTAGAGCCAGAGCTGCATTAATAGACTGGATCGTTACTAACAGTTTTTTATGTGCTGTGAGGCTGGAAGGTTATACAAAAGTAAGGAGTAGTAGGCCAGATAGGCAGTGTCTATTTGTTGTTTCTGCCTTTGCATCGACGGGTTGCAGCTCGAATGCAATTAAGGATGATTGTAATACCACCTGAGCGATCTCTTGAAACAGGAGCGTCGGAAGGATACCACAGTACTGGCTGGGGACTTGAATGCACAGATCGGGCGTCTAAACTCAGAGGAGAATCGTCTAGGTGGTCCATGGAGCTTACATGGTCGCAGGTCAGATAATGGGGACCGTCTTCTGCAGCTTTGCGCGGATCACGACCTATTTCTAGCTAGCACCAACTTCCGGCACAACCATCGTCGTAGCGCTACTTGGCGTCCTCCCTCTGCGAATCAAGCTTGGACTCAGATTGATCATACTGCTGTCAGTTTCCGGTGGTAAGGGTGCACACAAGACTGTCGCTCCTTCTGGAGCACATGTCTGGACTCCGATCATGCGTTAGTGTTCCAAGTTCGTCTTGCGATTTGGTGGGGTTCATAACAGGTGTCGTCTAAACGTTGATGTGAGCAAACTAGTAGCACCTGATACTTCTTTGAAATATCAGAATGAGTTACAATCAATGCTTTCCAGCAACCCCCAAGTGGTATAGATGAACATTGGCTTCATCTGCAAGGTGCCATGCAAAGGGCAAGTGTAGCCGCTTGCGGCTTGAAAGAATGGTCCGCTAAAATCCACTGGGTTTCTGTCTGTCTGTCTGTTTTCGACATAAAACTTTGCACAAATGTGCGGAATTTCAAGTCGCCACACTCCATGTGGCACACGAAGCAAGAGAAGAAAGTACAAGAAAAACATAACAGAGACAGTAAGTAGAGGTGTCAAACAAAAGGGGATAATGGGCATTCTTGACGGACACCACTAGTCGTCATCAGTTCAGATGACAGCTCGCCGTAAGCCCTCACCTGGCTGTATGAGTACGGTAGAGTGCCTTAATCAGTGCAATGTATTTTCTCGGAATTCCCTTTACAGCTAATCATCTTCAGAGAACCTCTCGATCGACAGAGTCGAAAGCTGCCTTTAGGTCAAGGAATATAGTGATTGTTGGGCGGCGGTAGGAATGCCTATGTTCTAGAATCTGTCGGAGGGTGAAGATATGATCAATACACCCTCTTCCTGGTCTAAAGCCTGCCTGGCTCTCTCGTGTTTGTGCCTCCCGAGCACCACTCAGTCTACGCATGATTATTGAGCCTAAGACTTTAGATACTATATTAGTCAAGCTAATCCCTCTGTGATTATCACAGGAAGACTTGTCTCCCTTCTTGTATATGGGGATAATCAGTGACTTACACCAACCCGATGGGACTTCTTCTGATTCCCAGACGCCGATTAGAACCTCAGTTAATGCAGACAGTAAAATGTCTCCACCGTACTTAAATACCTCTGGAGTCATTCCATCAGGTCCCGCTGCTTTGCCTAGTTTCAGATTGGTGACAGCTTTATTAACCTCAGTTAGTGACGGAGGACCTGTGTCTATATCCCATTGAGGGAGGTGTTGGATGTTCGGAAGGTTGAGTGTGGCTGTGGGCCAATTAAACTGCTCCTCATAATGCTCTTTCCAACGATCCAGTCGTCTATCCTGAGAGCTAATTATGGGGCCATTTTTCTCCGAGATTGTTTCGCTTATGATTTGCCTTCTCCCACCCGTTTCCCTGATGAGTCTAAAGAGTTGCCTAGTGTTGCCTGTCGTCGAGGCTTTTTCCATCTCTTTCGCCTTTGTCACCCACCACTGTTCACGGTCCTTGCGGAGACTTTTCGTAAGTTTCCTCTTGTGCAGCTTTCGCTCCTCATTGAAATCGGAGCTCGCCGGAATAAGTCTTCTAGCATCCATCAGTTCGGATGAGGCGGTGGAGATCCAGTGGTTTTTACTCACCTTTGGGTTTAACTTATTCACAGATTTTACAGCTGTATCTATGGCTGCCTGAATATTTTTCCAAGCTTCTTCAGGGTGAGCACAGCTGTCGAACTCAGATATGTGTTTAGCTAGTTCTTCCTGAAATACGGATTTAGTTTCCTGATCGAGCTGGGGACATGATGGTTTTACCGCCAGCTGTTCCCTACGCCCGTTCAGTCGTAAGCCCACCCGAGCGCGGACCAGTGCATGGTCGGTATCTACACACGTGTTCCAAAAGGAGCGACAATCTCCTACCGACCCACGCCACTGGATCCACTGGATCTCCACCGCCTCATCCGAACTGATAGATGCTAGAAGACTTATTCCGGCGAGCTCCGAATTCAATGAGGA